TAAGTTCTTTAGGCTAAGACAGTACCAACATCCTTATACCTTCTAATATAGGCAGTACTAATATTCCTGCACCCAACTTGTAGGGTACTTGCTTGAAAGGATAATTAACAGATTGTACAAATAAGTCTTAATTAGGATCCAAGAAGAGGATTTAATTGAAAGAGTGGTTTGAAAGTAATCAAAACTAGAATAGTGAAAGAAGCAATAAACACAAGAATGAGCTATAATAAAGGATTGGTTTAACCAAAAATTAGAAGCACTTCTGGCACAGTTGAATAATCTAATTATAGAAAGAAAAAATCTTGAAGGTTGGCATATAACTTCCTTATACAATATAAAAGTACCAAATTATGTTCTAGTTATACTTATATAGAAGTTTATAACAAACAAAACTGGAATCAATCAACCAATATGAGATAAAATCTGCAAAGTAGTATGGCATTACTGAGGTCAGTATAACTTTCTGAGTATAATCAGAATTGTTTTGTAGGTATTATTGAATAAGCTAAAAGCTTGCAATATATAGTAATATAATATTACTGAGGTCGAAAGAACTTTCTAGGTATAATCAGAATTGTCTTGTTTGTAAGTGCAACATGTCTCAGTCTCTACTATAGAAAGGAATATCATGTTAGAGGTTAAATGCAGCATCAAGTTACTGTATAATGTTAAGACCTGAAGCACTTGCAAGAACAACAGTAGCAGACCTAACTTAAGATACAAATTGGTCAAAAAGACCAATAACAACAGCAGATCTGGCTTGAGATATAGGTTTATTGCAGATTCTGAATCATTGTCGAAACACCTTAAGGGAATTAATAACAAGTATAACAAAGATGAAAAGATCATAAGAATTAGATATACCTGAATAGAACCAATTTGGAAATAGTACAGTAACAAAAAGATAAGAAATATAAAAAACAAGATAATACTAGATATAGTTAGATTAGAAAGCAGAAGAAACAAGACCAAGTAAGACATATAAGTAGAATACATGTCCAAGAGGGACCATCCCAAATATGGAAATGACTTCTGATATAATTACACAACTGTTAAAAAATTTTTTTTATACATTTTACAATACTTTTTTGGGAAGTTCGGGTTACATAACTTATCTATGAAACATGAGCAATCTCATTAAGCAAACTTGGAGCTTTCACGCTGTACTATAATTATATCTGCTTAATTTCTTTTAATTCCACAGCCTTCATGTTCAATATGTTTGACAAAATCAAGTCTAAAAGCAAGAAATGCAAAGAATGTGGTATCACTGAATCAAAATTCTGTGCATTAAAGAATGAAAAATGGAGTCAGGCTGAAAGAAATAGTTTAGTAAAGGTAATGTGGAAAGCTGGTATTATTTTATGTCACAAATGCTATATGGATTTAGTAGAAAATTCATTGCAAAGAATTAAAAAAGGTACTAAACGAGTAAGAGAAGAAGTAGGTAATAAAAAAGAAGTGGAAGAAATTCAAGTCGAAGAAGCAGTAGAATTCGTAGATGAAAATGAAAAGGATTCTACAATTAGAAAGGAAATTGATGCTATTATTAGGAATAATGCAATAGATATAGAATTAGAAAGTGCCAATAAAGAAGATATAGATATCATTATTGAAAATGAGTTAGATGCCAGTAATAAGGAAGAAATATGCATGATTAATCTTGTTGGTATTATAAAGAGATGACAAAAATCTTTTATAAAAGAGAACATGTACAAAAAGAAGAACCTATATATTCATTCAATAAAATGTGAAAATTACTTTCACAAATCGATTCAAGCTTAAAGAATTTTTTCGATCAACTTTATTTGTTATCTTGGCTATTTGAACATTGTGAGAAGACAATGGAGCATATTTAAAAATTAATAGTATTTTTGTGTTATCTTCTCACATCATTAAATAATTCAAAAATTAACTCCTTTAAGTTTGACTTAGCATATTATTTAGATTCTGTAGGTACAAGTAATGAAGGCTTGAATATGCTAGCTAATATCGGCATAACTACAACAGCAAGAGCAGTAAATCGTAAAAAGAAGCAACTTTTAGAAATAATGCAGAATATGTAGAGAAGGCTTTTAAAAAATATCCAGAAAATGCATTTGTGTTAAATGTTAATAATTATCACAACATTTATGTTCTAAAGCATCTGATACTACCAGTATGTCCTGAGCAGCATACATAGCAACAATTATGATGAATCTATGTTTTTCATCAGCTATACTACGTATTGGGCACTAAATTCAAAGATCATCGATGATAAGATAGTTTTTTTTTTTTTTTTTAAGGTGACCTCTTTGGTCTTTTGACTTTTATTAATCACTTATTGGTATTGTGGTTCAAT